TCGTGATTTGTTTTCCGCAGCGCGAGGGGGTCTGGGTCCCTGCTCCCCCTCTCGACCGCCCCAGGGTGGCCTTGTCCAGACCTCGAGAGAGAAGGAGGAGGAGGAGGAGGAGAAGGAGGAGGAGGAGGAGGAGGAGGAGGAGGACGAGGAGGAGGAGGAGAGGAAGGTGGAGGAGGAGGAGGAGGAGGAGGAGGAGGAGGAAGAGGAGGAAGGAAGGAGGAGGAGGAGGAGGAAGAGGGAGGAGGAGGAGGAGGAGAGGGAGGAGGAGGAAGAGGAGGAAGAAGCAGGAGGAGGAGGAGGAGGAGGAGGAAGCAGGAGCAAGCAGGAGAAAGCAGGATGAGGAGCGAACGTCGCTCCAGAGGAAGAGTCGCCCACCTACCCGTGCGTGCACGTGCAGCATCTAGGCAACGAAGTAAGTGCTGTGGCCCAGAACCAGGATGCGGTGATATGATAGCGTGCAACTGGTGCGTCAGGCTAAGCCTCAAGACCGACCGATCGAGCGAATCATCGGGGGTCGAGGCATGGTCCCGAGGGGACCCAAGACAAAGCTTCATTAATACAGAGTTGGAACAAAAATCCCGAGGAAAACAGGCAGCCCACCACAGGTGCCGACACCTCAGATAGTGGGACATATTGTCAGATCCATTCTCACAACCGAATTTACACGGGGCCGAACGGACGTTCGTGACATGCATTCTGGCCGCTGTGGGCCATGCTCCGCACATTACTTTGATCACCGCCCACCTCACCCCCCTCCCTTTATTACGAAGGACGCTCTTAAGCGCTTCCCATCTCTGCGCCAACACACGGGTGGCGGGCGCACGCACCTGCCACGCAGCCAACCTCTTCCTGAATGTGACAGGAAAGGAGTCAAGATAGAGGAGAGACGAGAGGATGGAGCGGAAGGTGGACTGGAAGGAAAAACGCTTTTTCCTCCTCTCACGATGGGGCTGCGCCAGCCACGCAGCCTCCACTGCCTGAAAGCAGGATGAGGAGGAGGAGGAGGAGGAGGAGGAGGAGGAGGAGCACCTTCGAGGGGGCCTGGCCTCCTCGCGCTTCTCGAACAGCATGGCGGATGAAGGGCGGACCCGTTCGGCGAGCGGGGCCTCCCCCGAGGGGCAGGTCCACGAGGTGCTCGTCGCTTCCATCCAGGGGGGCCTCCCTCCTCCCTCCCCCCTCCTCCCTCCTCCTCCTCCTCCTCCTCCTCCTCCTCCTCCTCCTCCCTCCTCCTCCTCCTCCTCCTCTCCTCCTCCTCCTCCTCCTCCTCCTCCCTCCTCCTCCCCTCCTCCTCCTCTCCTCCCTCCTCCCTCCCTCCTCCCTCCTCCCTCCTCCCTCCTCCCTCCTCCCCTCCCTCCTCCCTCCTCCTCCCCCTCCTCCCTCCTCCCTCCTTCCCTCCTCCCTCCTCCCTCCTCCCTCCTCCTCCTCCCTCCTCCCTCCCTCCCTCCTCCCTCCCCCTCCTCCTCCTCCCTCCCTCCCTCCTCCCTCCCTCGCTCCTCCTCCCTCCTCCCTCCTCCTCCTCCACCCTCCTCCTCCGCCTCCTTCCCCTCCTTGCACCTCCCGCATCCTCCCCTCCTCGTCTCCTCGTCCTCCTCGTCCTCCCTCCTCCTCCTCCTCCTCCTCCTCCTCCTCCTCCTCCTCCTCCTCCTCCTCCTCCTCCCACCTTTTGGACGACGGCGACGACGACGGCGACGACGACGACGACGACGACGGGAAGGCGTCGCCTGCTGCGCCATCTTCGTAAGCAGCTGCAGCCGCGCCACCGCTCCCCGGTCCGCGTCGCGGCCGCCCCCGCCGCCCTTGGAGGATCCGCCTGGGGCCGCTGGAGGCGCAGCGGAGGCGCAGCGGGGAAGGGAAGGGGGAGCGGATCGTCCTGGGTATTATGTTCCCCTTGCGGGAGGCTCAGGAGGATGGAAGGGTGGTTACCCATCGGTCGGAAGAAGTAGGTAGAAACAATGAAGTGGGAAGGCGTTGAAAGTAGATTGGGTTTCCGCCCGCCCGCTCAGGAGGACGGAAACGGTGAAGCCACTCGACCCTGGAAGTAGGAAGGCGCCGAAAGTAGACTGGAGTCTGGGGATCCAGAAATACCTGCCTTCAACGACTGATGAGTACGCAGGTGGTTCCTCTCGTGTGCCCTCTCTCTGGTGTTGGGCCGGGCATGTCCCCCTACAGGGGGACGTTGGACAACTATTCAGGCATGGTCGAAGAATACTCCAACACATCGTCCCCATACTATTGGTCTGACTATTTTTTGAATGTTCCTCCCGTAGAGGGACGTGCCCGACTTAACGCTGGTGCGCAGAGTGCTGCGAGAGCGCGGGGCAGCGCGGGCGGGGGAGCGCGATACCCCTCCCCGCGAGAGCTGGGCGCCCCCCGAGACTGGGCGCCCCGGCGGCCTGCCGGAGGGCGGCGGAGATCGGGGAGGAGAAGGAGGAGCAGAAGGAGGAGGAGGAGGAGGAGGAGGAGGAGGA